TCATGTGATAAATTCGAATTTATCACCAAGCCATGTGATAATCGCGAAAATATCACGTGATAAATTCGAAGATATCATATGGCTCGGTGATAAATTCGAATTTATCACGTGATAAGCCGCAGCAAGCCGTGATAAGCCGGCTTATCTTTGAACACTAAATTTGATTATGTATACAGTATTCGGAAACTTGATTGGATGATATACGAAAATTGATTATAATTGTATAAAGCGCATGAACCATCTCGTACAAAGCTATCGATTTTTTGTGTTTATATAACCTCGGGGTAGTACGACCTCTACGTCATAGCCGTAATGCTGTAAGTAGTCACTACTTTGAGAAATGTCTGCATCATTATTGACAACAAAGCACCACTGATAACGATAAATCATTTACGGTTTTGTCGTCAACTTTATGAAATCCTAAAATCAGTCTCGATACCATGTATTGTTACGACGAACAATAATTTATACGATAAAATTTAAGAATCTATGCGATAAGGCAACTCGCCAGAGGCGTGACTAGGGTAAAATGGCAGAGAAATTTTATAAAATATGATTTTAGAGAAGGTATTCTTTATTTGAATTATTATTACAACCGTAAGAATTATCCTTACAACAGCGAAAGTATAGTAATTTTATACTTTTTACAGCTATAAAGAATATAGGAACTTTGAATAAATCTATAGTATAAATTCTTAAAATATAAGTGATTATTAAGAAAAGGAGGCTTTAACCGATTATTATTTCTTGAAAAGAAAAGGCTTTTCATCCACATGAGTTTTGCTATTAAACTATAGTTACAATACTTTTGGATGTTTTGAAGTTTCGCGTATATTTATATGAATTTTTATTATAGTTCGCCCTCATGCACTACAACTGAATAACCATAGCCTCGATCATAGTGGTCTTATTCTTTCTTGATCACATGAACTTATGATTCAATTTTATATGATTGTGGCTGCGCCACAATCATTTATCGCTGTGATAAAATGTGTAATGAAAGTGTTATACAATAAGAATTACTTAATATTGTATTTAAAACCGTCAGTGCAAGCGATGGGTACACACTAATATTCATTAAGTACAGTACAACGACTAAGAAATAACAAAGTAACGCTACTTCATATTTAAGTTTTTATTGGTGAATTTGCATACATTTAATAATATATATCTACATATATATTAAATCAACCTTCAATTTTAAGGTACGATTTTAAAAGTTTTAGACATACCCCTGATACATCTATTATTTTTTTCGAAAATTCTAATAACATAATTGCCACCAGGAAAATTTGGAGTAATCCAAGTTATACTACGTTTATCGTAAAATACACGCTATGATATGATATTTAAATAAAAGAAATTTAAATTTTAGCGTTTATATAATAGTAATGTTGCTAAGAATAAAAGAATAAACATTTTACTTTTCGGTAAGATGTTTTATAAGTATCATTTTCCCATAATTCTATTGACAATTCAGCTATAAAATAATAAAAATAATAACGATAAACATGATTATCAAGCAGTTAAATATCATAATAAAGAAAAGAATGCCTACGATTATCTTTAATCAAAAAACCATCCCAAGAAACCTTTAAGGGAGTTCCCACACGATAACGATCGAGAGATGGTTTGGAAATTTTAAAAGAAGGCCGCACAGGGCCAATACCTCCATGTTTAGGCCAACAAACCGGAATAGTTGGAATAATCGTAGCAGACCAAATGAAAGAAGAAAAAATGACGAGGATTATAGTGATAATACAATTTAATTTCATGTTGAAGATGGATTTTATTAAAATAATTAAATTTCAAAACATTTACTTTTAAATCTTTAATTTTACAAAGAAATAGTCTTGAATTATAATTTGTTTGAATTTTTTTAATTTATCACTTAATCAACCCCGTTCATAAAATTAAGAGTAAAATATTTTAATATGATTAAAAATATTATAATAGATATGATATAAAGTTCACATTTTCATAGTTAATTTGTTGCGTTAAAAGAGGAAGAATTACCATATATACATGGATTATCTCCTCTGAATATTCTAATACAAAGCCCACTACTATTCTCATCTGGAGTAATCCAATTGATCCAATTAACAGATGAGTTTTTATAATAAACAGCCTTTGGTAAAAAGTAATTAAAACGAAATATTATTTTTTACATCCTTATATAAAGATTATAATTAAATACAAAGAAAATAGACTTACTTCCGAATAATTCTTAATATTTATATCCCCAGACCATAATTGTATTAGCAAATTGGCTAGTTTATTAATATACAGTATATAATAATAATTATATAAACAATTATTTTGAATAAATGCGTTTAATTAAGGAACACTTTGAATACTTTGAAATAAAAACTTACGGTTGTCATCAATGCGAAAACCAGTCCAATTTACAAATAAAGGTTCATTCATAGAATAAGAATCAGCAGACGGCTTGATTATTCTGAAAAAAGGCATTGAAGGACCTACTCCACCATTTGTTGGAAAGCATTGTGTAGCAAATGATGTCTGAGAAAATGACAAGAGGAAGCATACAAAAAATAAATTTAAAAACTTCATGATCTTGATCTTGACTTAATGGAAGTTGAAAAGAAGAAAAAGGATTTTAGCAACGGTATTTAAAAAAGTCAACAATTTACGTACTATTTATTATGAAATAAAAATTGTAATTAATGCAACATGTAATTTGAGATTTTTATTAGCACAATTACTAAACAAAGTAAATACATTAAATAACGATAAATGCAATCTGTACATTAAATTACAGTATTTTTAGATTCCTTGTTTCAGGCAATGTCTTTCATTATATTAATAAACAATATGTTATTATTTGAACATCTTTGTTTCAGCAGAGCTGAATAGATACTACATACGCAATAAATACAGTTAAACTGTTTTTTTCTTTATTGGATTTTTATAAAATATTTTAATATTAATAAATATTAATAAACAGTTCTAACAAAATTCATATTCATATATTTCAGTCTAACACCAATACAGTAAGTAACCTTCGAAGCTTATCCAATGCATACACACGGAATTACAGTAATTGACAGAATTTACACTGGCTGAATTCAGAGATATGAAACAACGATGCACAAAATTCCACGACACTTTAGTATATAATATTACAAACTATATAGTCACGATCCAAGGTAAGCTTCAAATCAGCCTTCAATTGTTAAAGATCTCAAGAGCCATGCAAAAGAGATGAGATTAAAAATTAGCAGTTTATTGATGTGAATTGGCACAGGAATAACTATTTCTCTATTAACCGCACCTATCGCTATTGATGGTAGGATCACTTTGACCGTCTCTAATATTACAGGAATTACAGAAATTATGACAATAATTAGATAAATCAAGCGATGTATTTGGTATGACATAGAGCGCATTATACGACATTCAAGAAAGAAGACAGAAGGTAAAAGGAATGAAGAGACTTTGAAGACTAGAGATGGAATTGAAATCTATGAAGCTATTGAAAAAGTTAAAGAAAAAGTTAACATAATGTCGACGTGGAAATTGGAATGAAGAAATCGATGATCTTGGGATATTGTAACGAATCATTTTACGACATGCTAAAGATAGGGATAAATAATAATTAAACTTGACTACATTCATGTTTCTTACCATAAGTGTTTCGGACGAATCCGAAATATTTCGCCCGGAAGAAATTATTTTACGCTCCGAAATATTTCGAACCTTACAGCTGTTTTCATAAATTCTGGGACACATAAAAATTTTCTTGTTTCCCGGAATCTTTTCGGTTTCGTCCGGTAAATTACCTATCTCTCTGGAAACTACATCGCTATTTTCGAACCTTCAGTCCGGAGACAGTGAGGTAATTTACCGGACGAAACCGAAAAGATTCCGGGAAACGAGAAAATTTTTAAGTGTCCCAGAATTTATGGAAACAGCTGTAAAAAAGTGCGAAATTACTACGTATTTTGCGGGTTGGCCCGAAATTATTTCGTTCCGGCTAAACTATTTCTTATTGTAGGCTTTGAAAATAGTCTAGCCGAAACACTACCCGCGCATATAAAAACCCACACGTATAGATTAGTTCACAAGAATTTTTTTTTATGAATCGTTAATATATCAAATCGAAAATTTAAATGAAGACCAAAAACAGATCGAAATTCTGATATTTAACACACGACTACACACAAACAAATGTTCTTATTCATAAAACGTGTTAAAATCATTCTGGCTATCCGCTAATTTTTTTATGCAAATAGTTGCAAATAGGTCGTGATTCCAACTTTATTTGTTTTTGTTAGAACATTTTGTTTATCATAAGATTTTACGTGTCCTTCGCTTAGTTATGGACTCTTAATTTTCAAATATGCTTTTTCGGCGACCGCAATATATTATGTAGGTATTAAAAGTTTGCCGAATGCCACCCACTCAGTGATGAGCGCAGCACAGAATATTTTCGTATACTGTATGTGGGAACGGTGAGAAGAGACCAGTTATCTTTTCAAAGAGACCAGTTATCTTTTCAAAGAAACTAATTGCTTAACATTATCATAACGATGGTAGAATGGTTTAATGTAATGATGGTAAGTAGGAATAAATATTTGCACGTGATATTGTTTGATCGATGTTTCTTTTTCAAAATTATTTATCACAAAACATTGATCTATTATGATCGAATAATTATCAATTTTAAAATATTGGCGTGGTGGCTTTGTCCTGCTTTTCCTGTTTTTCTCGAGTTATCAATCCTCATACCTATGGCTAAGTACAGTACATAGCCATAATCAACAAAACAAAAAGTCACAATAAAAAAACGAAAAGTCACAGTCTCTAGCCTCTTCGATCCATGTTTACCAACTGATCGTGCATTATCAAAAGTATAAAAATTATTTGCTTGTTTCGTACATTCTGATAATTTTTAATAATCTAATTTATATTTATTGTTATGAAGTTTTGTTTGACGCGTTATTATAAAATTAAACAACCGTGACTTTTGACCTTACCATAATAAATTATATTATTATATAACAAACAAATAATGTAAATTATTTATTGTAAGTATGGTTAATCAAGTATGTCCATCGTTTATAATCAATTCAACACGCCTCGTTTTAAGTGATGTGAAGAATATTATTAGGCATTGAGATTTGTGGAACACTATTAGTATAATAAATCCGGGGCATATGGGCCACAGGTCTAGTTGTGAAGAATGGCACAGCCGTCGTACAGAAAATACGAAACGTGTCACTAAAGTTTCAGACTAATCTTGGCACATTAAGTTTGTCAGCTAAATTAGTTTATGAACGTACGTACGTACGTACAGTACGTATATGTAATTGATAATATCTATATTATAAAATGATTAATTAATTAATAAAAAATATTCACAAGAAAAAAAAATTTTTTTAAAAAGATAAACAAAAACATTAGGTGAGCCGATTAAATGATCGAGAAATGATAATGCCTTAGCTCTGTTTAAGTTTAAAGTTATATCCGAGCCACATATAAACAAAAACAAATATTCGTTAGCCACCACTAAGTACTAAAAAAAAGGCGCAATAAAAAAACATCGAAATTTATTATATATTATTAAAAACGAAGTGAGGAACGTTAAAATCAATTAATTGTCTCGTTAAAAGAACGCGGCTGTGAATTCTTTATGCGTAGTGTGGTACTATTTACCTCACGGTAAAGTTCATGCGAACGAACAAGAAAAGTTAAGCCTTCATCATTACCAAAATATATAAATTCTTTGCATTTCCGTCTTGTTTCTCTTTTTAATCAAGAGAACTAATCTTTTTATTTGAACTTCAAATTATAATTTATTAAATATATCATATACAACTACGAAAATTCAAGAAATCTTTTTAAAAAAAAAATTTTTAAAAAATGAGAACGTCAACTTTCCTTCTACTCGTAATAATATTTTTAACAATCAACATACATTATTCAATCGTTGAGATTCAAGCATTTGAAAATTCTGTTGAAATATATTCACCTACTCAAGGTTGGTACCCTATTGGTTCAGATTTATGTATAAAATGGAGTTTTATTGGGTATGATGGAAATAGTAAGTTTTGCAAACCATTAATAAAATATTTAAATGTAGTCACAGAATAAAAATATTCAAGAATGATTACTAACTTTAATCCGTTATTTTTTAATAATTATAGCCAAAGCTTACGTACAGTTATGGCGAATACCTCCAGGCTCAAATGCTAAGTTAGTCTGGAATGTTGTAAGTAATTTTTTTCTAATGAATTATAAATCATATGCCGTAAATTATTTATTAATCATATTTATTTGTAATAGTCAGCTTTACTTTATTTTGATAATATTTGCTTCACCGTCACTTCAAATTGGTCCGAGAATGATACATTTTATATAAACGTCGTACCAAAAAATCATCCTAAGCAGGAATTTCATTCAGATACTTTCATGATTTATAAAACATTGGTTTTTTATTAAATTCAAATAAAATTAATATGTATATTTTTTTAAAAAATGATCAAATAAAATTTAATACATTTAATAACTATATATACCAAACGTGTGCTTTTTACAATAATACGTATACGTACATATATTTTTTTAAATACTGAATCGGAAAACTTACTAATACGTACTGTACGTACATACATCGACATATATTTTTAATAATTTTAATATACGTATTATATATATATATATATATATATATATAAGCTTATACGTATATATTTATTTATATATATATATATCATATTTATTTATTATTTATTATACGTACACGTATTTATTTATAAAATTCCCGAATTTGTCAAAAAATATACTGTATTTCCTTTTCCACTCCCAACCCGCTAAAAATAATAAAATTAGGGGCAATTCGCGGCGAACCACGAACCACCCCAACAGCAAAAAATTATCCAGTTGAGACACCCCGTAGGATGTTCAAGACAGCAGCCGCCAGCTTGAGTGCAATGCCAGCAGCCACCACCTATACAACCACCTTGTTGATCATGGTTGTATCCTGGCAGGTAAGTATGAGTTTTTCAAAACCTGAAATGCATGATATTTATAATTTTCCAAAATTGTGGGATTTCTTTCATATATAGAATATATCACGTGGTTTTTATTTGTCTGATTTTTAGTACTACGATACTACTAAACGTTGAAAAAAAAAAAATCCACCTTTAAATTAATTTTTTAAAATAGAGAACATTTTTAAAGGTTTGGATGTGGTTTTTTTCTCATTAGAGTTAGGATTGTAAGATTAAATGACTATTCCTAATCTGTATTATCTCTTACTATATCGATATATCCGATATTTAAATATTAAATATTACATACGATATACCTTTTGTTTGCATTACGTCATTATGAAAAAAGGGCTTTGTGAATTATTAATAACAAGTAAATAAAATATTATTTTGCGCATCGATAAATTATATTTTCACCGATTTGCTAAGTATTATTTTGTTTCGATAATTTATATATCAATATCACTCAAGGATGCGGTTTGGGATAAAGTTTATTAATAGCAGAGTTTGCAACTCAACTAATTATCGTACTACTTTATTGTAAAAAATATACATTTTGAGTCACCAGAACATTACGATGTAATGTACAGTACACATTTAGCGACCAATAGAAAAAAGAAAAAAATCGTGATAACAAATGTTTGTTAAAGTATAAGGTTTAGCAACCATCAGCTTTTATTTGTTCACCTAGCTCTTCTCCATAACAAACTTTATTTTTAAATTATATATTTAAAATATATATATATAAATACAGTACATTAGTACACCATTTCGAAGAGAAGATCCCATAATTAATGTGAAGAGTAAAGTATGGTCAATCGAGAAAGAGTAAAGATTAATTTACATTTATTTATATTTATATCATCTATATCAAACACACCGATAATTCTTTGCTGCAGTTATATAACGTGAATAGTTTTCTTTGAACAAGAAAGATCTGTGTTTAAAAAAAAAATTTATATTGTTAAAAAAATGATAATGTTTTTCTTTCGAATTATCATAAGATACATACTCATTGATATTGGTTTGTCTGACAACAAATGCTCGTTTAGTAGTAGAAGTAGTTTCAGATGTTTTGGTTTTGGTACCGCAATTGCAAGTTGAACCACATTTACAAGATTCACCACAATTACATCCACTTTCTTGAGATGACATTTCTACCGATTTTTTTACGTAGAGAATTTTTTTTTTTCTTGTAAAATCTTAAGATCAGTATTTATTATTGTTGCAAATTCCATTAAAGGGTGAATTAATTCCTTATTAATTTCCTTAAGTTAGAGTTTGGATCCGGTCATCCGTTTTCATATTAAATTTAACGGATATCCGACGGATTTTACTATTATATTTGTAT